GACAGGTTAGCCATAGCAGCAGTAGCAGTAGCACTAGCTGTAGCAGCAGTAGTTGCAGCAGCAGCAGCAGCAGTGACATCTCGGGTTGGGCGGCGCGGCTCGGACAGGGCGGCGCGGATCGGGCTCAGTGGCGGAGCAGCAGCGGCAAGCAGCAGCAGCAGCCGGCGCTCAGTAGCAGCAGCAGCACCAGCAAGGAGGAGCAGCTGCAGCAAGTAGCAGCAGCAGCAGCAGCCAGGAGGAGCAGCTGCAGCAAGTAGCAGCAGCAGCAGCCAGGAGGAGCAGCTGCAGCAAGGAGGAGCAGCTGCAGCAAGTAGCAGCAGCAGCAGCCAGGAGGAGCAACTGCAGCAAGTAGCAGCAGCAGCAGCAAGGAGGAGCAGCTGCAGCAAGTAGCAGCAGCAATAGCAGGGCAGTGCAGGCGGCAGCAGCACTGCAGCAGCAGTTCAGGCGCAGCAGCGAGTGCAGCAGTAACACGGGCCGCGTGCAGGCCAGGCATTGGCTGTAAGGTCTGCGTGCTGGCCTGACGTGGGCTGTACGGGCTGTGCGACGGTCTGGCGCGGGCTGTACGGGCTTCGCGACGGGCCTACGCGGGCTGTACGGGTTTCGCGACGGGCCTACGCGGGCTGTACGGGCTTCGCGACGGGCTTACGCGGGCTGTACGGGCTTCGCGACGGGCCTACGCGGGCTGTACTGGTTGCGCGCTGGCCTGGCGTGGGCTGTACGGGCTGCGTGACGGCCTGGTGCGGGCTGTACGGGCTGTGTCCGGGCCTACGCGGACTGTACGGGCTGCGCACGACAGAAAAGGGCAGGGCAGCGCGAAACGCTGGGCAGGGCAGAAACTAACGATCGGGCAGGTGAAAACGAATGTGGTGGGCCCTTAATTACGGTCCTAGGCTAGGAACGTCCTAGCTCTTAATACCATGTCGAGATTAGCTAGGAAGGAATGTTGATTAGGTAAGAGGGAGGGGTACAAGACTATCGAGAGAATTGGGTTGTACCCTCTAAGGAATGACCCCTACACAACCTAGAGTGAAATGAACAGAACTATATGTTTTGACAGAGAGAAGAGAGGAGAGGAGAGAGGAGGAGGCGGCTGGAGGAGAAGAGGAGAGGAGAGGAGGAGAGGAGAGGAGAGGAGAAGAGGAGAGGAGAGGAGGAGAGGAGAGGAGAGGAGAAGAGGAGAGGAGAGGAGGAGAGGAGAGGAGAAGAGGAGAGGAGAAGAGAGGAGGAGAGGAGAGGAGAGGAGAAGAGGAGAGGAGAGGAGGAGAGGAGAGGAGAGGAGAGGGGGGAGAGGAGAGTAGAGGAGAGGAGGTGGCTAGCGCGGCAGAAGCTCTCCCGCCACCCCCTCATCCCCCTACCCTCCGTGCGCTTGCGCTGGCGGAAGTGCTGGCGCTGGGCGCTGGCATCGCGCTTGCGCTGGCGCCCGCCGTTGGCGCTGGCGCGGGCGCACGCCGTCGGCGCTGGCATCCGCGCTGGCTCTGGCGACCGCCGTTGGCGCTAGGCGCTGGCGTCGGCGCTGGCGCTGGCGTCGGCGCTGGCGCTGGCGTCCGCCGTTGGCGCTGGCGCTGGCGTCCGCCGTTGGCGCTGGTGCCCGCCGTCGGCTCGCTGGCACGCTCGCCACGGGCAGAGTGCGACGGGGCGAGCATTGTGGGACGGGGCAGCCAGCACGTGGCGTGCTAACGGGCTGCACGACTGGTGGGCCCATAATTCTTAGGTCCTAGGAAAGTACCTGCTCTAATGCCATGTTAAGAATAGGTAGTTAGGGCTTAGGACTTATGGTGCATTCCTGTGGAGACACTTGTGTCTCAATACTTTTGTGACGCGTAAAAACAACATAAAACGTACAATGTCACAAAGGCGTGTCGCCCTTGTGCGACCATTACTGTATTTTTCATTGGTCAGCGTGAAACGCGCTGACGTCGCGGACGAGTTGCATATTGACCCGTTACTGTCAACGAGTCGTACGCGGTTCGAAATGTCAATGAACATGGACACCCCACCCCACAATGCCAACATCGCGCAGGAAAAAAATCCGCTCGTCAAAACCCCACCCGAGCCAGGAGGTTGAAGAAACAGGTGTACAGTCATGTTTGAAATCCAATCAAATGCGCATTGGGATAAAAGGGCTTGTTTCAGTAGCGGGTCAGTGCGCCCATAACCCCCCAGGCAAACGCGCCTGTAACCCCCCCTAGGATCGATCGGGGATCTCACAGTGTAGCTCTACTGACAATAGCTAGGTAAGTCCTAGCTAGGCAAGAGAAGTTTAGGCAAAAGAGGAGAGGTTCACTAGCAGCAATGAGGATACATATAGCAAACCCTAGATGGGTTGTACTCGCTATAGAGCACCCCACTACGGGCTAGAGAATAACATTCTGACACACCCCCATAGCCAAAGTGGGGTGTAATCAGTACAATGAGCAAGCAGGTATAGAGCAGGAGTTCACAAAGGTAAGCAAAGCTAGAGCTAATCACAGCGAGCAAGTGAGGAGGAGGAGGAGCTGTGGAGGTAGAGAAGATGGGAGGCAATGACTGAAGCTGCAGAGGCACGGGCACAGGAGCGGCTGACTCAGAGGCTACCAAAGCAAGGGCGACGGACTACTGGAGTAACTGGCTCGGCGGCTATAGAAGAGCGGCAGGAGCAACGGACCCACTGGCGACTGGTGCAGCAGGCTCACTGGCTACCGAAGCAAGGGCGACGGACTACAGGCGCTGCAGGCGACACGACAGGTACCTCCACACAACCTCCTCCAACTGCCCCACACCCTCGACACACACCCACTGCTCAAACCCTAGCTCCACTCCCACGCACCCCCCTAAAACCCTAAACCCTAGGCTCCCACACACCCACCCCCCTCAGCGGCAGCTGCAGCAGTGGGAGACCAGGGAGGAGGAGGAGCAAGGGGAGTAACACACAACCGCCACCCCCACACTCCTCACCCCCAAACCCTAATTCAGGAGAACGGGCAGCAGCAGGGGTGGGGCGCCATCAGAAGCACGGGGGACAGCGGGCAGCGCAGGGGCAGCGAAGAACGGGCCGCCCACGGGCCTGGCACAGCCGCCCGAACCGCGCGCAGGCGGCCCGAGCCGCGCGCGGGCCTGGCGCAGCCCGTACGGGCCGCGCGCAGGCTGTACGAGCCGCGCGCAGGCCACGACGGGCGACGGGGGGCGACGCGCGGGTCCCCGTCGCCCGTCGCAGCGCCTCCCGGGAGCGACGCGCGGAGTGACGGGGCAGAAACCCGCCGCGCGCCTCGGGGCGCACGGCGGGCAGAGAACCGCCGCGCGCCTCGGGGCGCACGGCGGGCAGAAAACCGCCGCACACTCCGAGCGCGTGGCGGGATGAAAAATCCGTTGCACGCCACGGGGCGTGCAACACAGAGAGTAGCAGTTGCAGCGGAAGCAGTGAGGTGGGGCCCACAGGCTAGGAGCATATCGCTCTAATACCATGAGAAAATAGTAGGTAGAGTTAGGAGCCATAGCTAGGTAAGTCCTAGCTAGGCAAGAGAAGTTTAGGCAAAAGAGGAGAGGTTCACTAGCAGCAATGAGGATACATATAGCAAACCCTAGATGGGTTGTACTCGCTATAGAGCACCCCACTACAGGCTAGAGAATAACATTCTGACAACCAGCAGTTGATGCTAATAACTAAACTAATACACTAGCAAGCTATAGGCAGTTATAAGATATGCAATAACAATTAACATGTTGACCCGAGCTGAGCATTCCAGCTCGTGTCTTCACAAGATTTCAGATGACATTTTCAGCGGATGACCCGAAGCCAGGAATGGGCCCTAAGAAACCTAATAACATACAAATACAGTTTGACAACGGGTTCTTGAGCCGCAGGATTAAGCCCCACAGTAATAAGAGAATGTACGAGTAATCCCTGAGGCAGGCTAAGTCCCCCGTGGGATTGTAACAGCTAATAGAATCTGCCCTTGAAAACCAGGGGGTTTTCACGAAAACAGAAAATCCCCTGATGCATCAGGGTGGCCTAAAACGAATATGAGGGCCTCTTGAATATTTTCCAAATGCCTTGTTATTCAATCATAGTTTTCTGTTCAACTTACAGCTGTTGTTACCAAAAGACAGTAATAAATTCGCCAAGTCATTTCAAGGTCAGCGGTTGCTATAATGAAAGCCTCTCGTTTGAGAACGTGGCGCAAATATGAAGGATTTCAGATGCGGTGAGAACTGTTCATGGTGTCTCGCGTTGCGACCCCCACACCGTGACTATTTCGAGTCTCCTCGTGCTCAATGGAAACCCAGGGTTGTTCGCAGCGCACAGAGACCAGCCCTTGCCCCCGTTAGTGCAACGCGGGTTTGCCCTGCCCAGGGCCATTTGAACCGAGCCACCCGTGTGTGAAGCGCTCATAACGAGGGCCGCATCAGATTCACCTCCACGCATCAGCCAACCCGCGTTTCCCACGTGGCTCAACAACTGCTTGCGCGCTCGCTCACACAACCCTCCACCGCCCAAAACCTCCGCCCCGCACTCCGCACTTGACTATCGTCCGCGCGCCCTAGACAACAACCCTGCCCGTTGTTGCGCATATGGCTGGAAGCTGGCGGAGTTGGAGGTTGAGCGGAGCGCAAGTCCGCAGCAGAGGCGAGAAGGGCAGGTCTGTCCCGTCACTTGCCTTCACCCCGTGCCTCCCTCAAACTCATTCACTGCCGCAACCCTTGGATCGTGAGCTTTAGCTGTTGTGAGACTTTCACGTCAACCATGGCGCACTACGATTGAGAATCTCATTAGGGCACTGAAACAGATGGAGACGGGACCGAGTGTCGCATTGAAAAATCAACGAGGTATATCTACGTGCTGTTACTGCTCTGCTTGAAGGGCGTACGTCGTGCTAGTTTGCATATTTATCGAACTTAGCGCGTTAAACCAATCTGAGCGCACTAGCGTCCCCGCCACTTGGAATCTCGCATAGACCCCGCCTGCAGCCGCCTTGCCACAGCCGTCGGCGATGGGGCCCCTGACGGGCGTGGGGTGCTTCGCCATGCGTGCCGGCGCGCGGTCGGGATACAACAGCCAGGCAGGGCGAGCGGGGAATGCGGCGGACGACGCGGAGATTTCCAAGTGGTCGTCGCTGCCGCCCGAGCTGCTGCGCGAGGTGATCGCGCGGCTGGAGGAGGACGACCGCGACTGGCCGCAACGTCGCAGCGTCGTCGCGTGCGCCGGCGTCTGCAAGGCGTGGCGCGAAATGACTCGGTGCGCTACGCCCCCGCCCTGCTCCCCGTGCCCTTATCGCTCCCCTATGTTCTCCATGGTTTCGCCCTCCTTTGCCCCGTTGAAGATGCGGTGAAACATCTCGTCTATCCCCGTCGCTTCCCCTATTGTCTATCCTAGGGCGTTCATGTCCGCGTGCGACGCGCCGTAGCGATCCTTTAAAACTCCTGGTCCCTTCTTATCTTCGTTTCCCCACCTTCCTATGCACCTCTACCTCCCCCTGTGCCACCCGCGCGTCTTCTCTCGCCACCACCCAACATTCTTTTTCCAACCGCGCGTCCTTTCTCACCGCTACTTTCACGCCTCCCCTCGTGGCGCGTCGTTCAAGCCATAGCTCCCCACGTTCCTCCGCATTGTCCCTCGACCTCCCCCTTCTGCTCCGCGCGCCCTTTCTGCCCCCACCCCTTTCCCCCCCTCTTTCCCGCCCTGTTCCCCGAACCTTCATCCCCCGCCGCTCGGCGCGCAGCGATCTGCTGCAGTCGGTGGGGTCGTTCGAGGCGGGGCAGATCTCCTTCCCCGACGAGCTGCGCCGCCCGGGCCCGCGGGAGCGCAGCGTGGAGTGTTTCATCCGCCGCAGCCGCAAGACGGGCACCTTCACGCTCTTCCTCGGCGTGCCGCCCGCGCCCACCGAGACCGGCAAGTTCCTCATGGCGGCGCGCAAGTGCGGCTGGCGCCCCTCCAGGTACGCGCTCGCCGCCGCGACGGTTATAGTGGGGGGGAGGTGGGGGAGCGGGGAGGATGGGCGCCGGTGGTGCGAGGAGCGGATGGCAGCGGCCGCCGTGTTGCGTGGGACGGGAGTTCTCACGCGCGTGGTCGCTCATGCGCTATGTGTTCGGCCGGTTCGACATTTTTCCCTCCGCTCCCTTCGTCCCTTCATTCTTCCCTACGTTAATGTGTTCCCTTCCGCTTTCGCCTTGCTGGCGCCCTCTTCCCTCCTTCCCCCCTTCCCCCCACATCCCTCCCCTCTCCCCATCGGCGCGCAGCATGGAGTACATCGTCTCGCTGGATCCGCGCGACTTCTCGCGATCGCGCTCGTCGTTCGTCGGTCGCCTGCGCGCCAACTTCCTCTCCACGCGCTTCGCCATCTACGAGTCGCCCAACGAGGCCAGTCCCGCGCCCACCCCCCTTCTCTCTCCCCGCCCCCTCCAACCCTCTCGCCGTTGCTTTGCTCTCGCCGTCTGCTCGGATGCGCCTCGAGTCACGTGCTTTGCGCGCCCTACGCCACTCGCCTTCACTCGTACCACGTCGTCCCTCGCCATGCCATCTCCCTCCACCACCCCTGCTTGCTTTCTCGCACCATCTTCTCAACCTTCCTCCCTTTCCTCCTCTCACCCTCTCGTCTCCCCCCAGCAGCCCGTGAACCCGGTGTGTTCGCCGCCCATCGCCAGCAGCAAGGTGCATCCCGGCTACAGCCCGCTCCTCGCGCCGTCGCCCGCGCCCTCGCTCGCGCTCCCCGACGCCTCTGCGAGCGGCAGCGGCAGCAGCAGCAGCAGCAGCCGGTGGCTGACGGCCAGCGCGTCGTCGCTCTCCGCCGCCAAGAGCCCCGAGTTTACTCCCGCCTCCCCCTCCGCCGCGCACTCCGCCGCCTCCGCGTCCTCGTCCGCGTCGTCCTCCGCGTCGTCGGCGCTGCGCCCGTCGTTCCTCTCCTCCTCCTTCGACGCCAGCAACGGCGGGCTCTCCGCGCTGCTCTCCTCCCCCTCCACCTCCTGCGCGCCCGCCGTCTGCCACAAGCCCTCCGCCGCCACGCTCTCCCCGTGCCTCTCCCCCGCGCCCTCCGCGCTGCCCCTCGACGGTCCCGTCGTGTCCGTCGCCTACGCGCTCAACGTGCTCGGCGCGCGCGGGCCGCGCCGCATCCTATGCACGCTGCACCACGTGCCAGCTGGCGCCACGGGATTGGCCGGCGACGACGAGGGATTGGGAAAGAACAACAATGATGATGGGGAAAGGGCGGGCGCGCGAGCAGCGGGGATGGCGGGTGGGGTCGGAGGCGGCGTGGAGATCTCGCTGGAGGGCGGGCTGATGGGCGCTGCGGCGGAGTCGGCGGCGAGCCAGGGCATGGCGGGGCTGTCGCCTCCCCCTCTCTCGCTGGGGGAAAGCGCCACCCCGTCGCGCCCCCTCCCCGCGCAACGCTCCCTCGCGTCTCCCGCGTTCACTCCGCCGTCGGCGTCGTCGTCATCGTCGCTGCTCTCCTCGCCGCCCGCCTTCACTCTCTCTGACTCCTCCCCCGCCCTCTCCTCCCCCGCCCCCGCCTCCCCCTACACGCCCGCCCTCGCCACCTCTCCGCGCACGCTTTTCAGGCCCGCAAGCAGCAGCAGCATGGGTGGCTCCGCGCGGCACCTGGGGCGGTCGCTGCTGGGGCAGAGGCAGGGCGCGGCGGAGGAGGTGGAGGAGGGCGCGGAAGGCGAGGACGGCGACGCCATGGACGCGACTGCCAGGCTCGCGCCCACGCCGCCCTTCGCCTCGCCCGTCTTCGCTCCCACTGCCTCGCTCTCTCCCGTCCTCCCCCCTTCCGCCGCCTCCCCCGCCGCGCCAGAGGCGGACCTGCTTCCCCCCGCCGTGCTGCCGCTGTGTGCAGCGCCAGACGCGTGCGAGTGCCGGCAGTGCGGCGGGCGGCACAGACACGCGCAGGGAGGGCAGGTGGGGGGCGAGCAGCAGTTGCTGGCGGAGCCCATGATCCTGCGGAACAAGCCGCCCCGCTGGCATGAACAGCTGCAGGTGCGCTCGCGGATAGTGAGAGCGCGGGGCAGGGAGGGCGGAGTGCAGTGAGGGCGCTGCTGCTTGTGTTGATGCTCTAACTTGTCTGCTTCTCTCAACTGTGGCTCAATTCCTGTGTGCGTGTGGATGGGTGTGGTGCGTGGCTGTGTGTGTGCGTGTGGATGTGTGGGTGGCGTGGGTTGGGTGGGTGTGGGTGGGTGCAAATGTGTATGTGCGTGTGTGTGCATGGGAGCATGAGTGCAGTGTTGGTGTCTCAACTTCCGGGGGCGGGTGACAGTGGCGTCGGTGAAGAACTTTCAGCTGATAGAGGGCAATGCGGGGGGGGCGGTGGACGATGCGGACAAGCCGGTGCTGCTGCAGTTTGGCAAGATCGGCAAGGACGTCTTCACCATGGACTACCGCTACCCGCTCTCTGCCTTCCAGGTACGCCCTCTCCGCCTTCCAGGTACGCCCTCTCCGCCTTCCAGGTACGCCCTGCCCCTCTCCGCCTTCCAGGTACGCCCTCTCCGCCTTCCAGGTACGCCCTGCCCCTCTCCGCCTTCCAGGTACGCCCAAACCCTCTCCGCCTTCCAGGTACGCCCAAACCCTCTCCGCCTTCCAGGTACGCCCTGCCCCTCTCCGCCTTCCAGGTACGCCCAAACCCTCTTCGCCTTCCAGGTACGCCCTGCCCCTCTCCGCCTTCCAGGTACGCCCAAACCCTCTCCGCCTTCCAGGTAATGGGTTTGCGGAAGGCTTTTGAATGAATGTGCCGAAACATACCTGACCCTGCCTCCACATGCGCCACTGTCCCCCGTGCGTGCAGGCCTTTGCCATCTGTCTGAGCAGCTTCGACACCAAAGTAGCCTGCGAGTGATCCCCTCCGCCCATGGCCCCGCCGTCGCCCCACTCCCCCCCGCTCCGCCTCCACTCATTGAGTGCACACGTGTTGCATTTCCATCCCAAGCCGTGCCACCGCAAGCTGGTCGCAGCCTCCCTAGATAGCACCTAGTGCCTGGCCCCTCCTAGGAAATGCATCCGTTGCATCACTGGTCTCGCCCCTCGCGAGATGCCATGAGCTCATGGCCCACTAAGGGCGGATTCTTTGTGTCTTCGGCAACCGTGTAGACTAGATTGGGCGGTTGAGTTGGGGATGCAAGGAAGCTGATGAGATGAGGGTTAGGTTAGGTAGAAGGAGATGGAACTGCATGATTTGCCAGGCCAACTGTATGAGCCAAGGTGTTTTGCAAACTGTTAGTCTGTTTGCAAGGATTAGGGAATAAGCAGAAGTATTTCCAAACACTTTTGGTGGGTGCAAGTTTTTTGTGCTTGATTGAAATGCTGCAGTAAATCTCAGACAAACCACGTACCAAATACTGCCTTTCTATACACCACTCGTGTAATGCAGCATTAGGAATCTCATGCAGGCACACTAAAAAAATTGCAAGGAATCCAAATGGTATTACCAATATTGTTATACACTCATGCATTGTTCTAGAGATCGTTGTGCATTGCACGTGCGTCACTTGAGGTGCAGCTACCACTGCTGTGCTGCCATGCCCTGGTGTCAGCACCCATGCTGCACCACTTGTAACACACAGCGCCTTCAGAACCTGCTTGGAACACAATCCCAAAACAAGTGGGAAAAAAAGGCGTTGCGTTGCGTTTGAAAGGAAACAGAAGAGAAGAAGACGGGCCAAGGCAAGCATGCTTGGTCCATATGTACGCACGGGTTACAGCAGCAGGGAACAAGGCACGCTCAGCCGTCCGTTGGTACGGTTGCAGCGGCCATTTGAGCTGTGAGCGCAACGCGCGTGGCCTCCACTATCTCTGTTCGCTTCAGCCCCCTACCCCCTCTGCGCCCTTGCCTCTCAGCAACGCCATCCCCACCTCCCCGTGCCATCCGGCGCGGACGGCGGGAGGGAGGGAGGGAGGGGTCATGAGTGCAGGAGTGGATAGCACCCCCTGTGAGATGAGTGTACTATATGACTGTATCAGAACCGTTCAGGGAATTTGGGTGAGGTTATGGAGTTTATGCACCCGAGAGCCCCTGCCGTTGTCACAACCCTTAGATTTACCATCACCCTGTATAGTCACACCCACCTTGAGATCACACCCACCTGATTTTCCGTACATGCGGGAACCAAATCGCAAGCATGGCAGCTGGGTGGCAGTACATTCATGCACGGATTTGTGGGGATTACAGTGGCGTGGAGGAATGCAGAGAGGAAATAAGAGGGGAAGATGGAGGGGTTAGGCGGAGAGTTGAGGGTTGAGAGAGCAGGGAGTCACCCGCAGGGCCTTGTCGCTGCTGCCCTCATGTCACCCGCAGGGGCCTTGTCGCTGCTGCCCTCATGTCACCCGCAGGGGCCTTGTCGCTGCTGCCCTCATGTCACCCGCAGGGGCCTTGTCGCTGCTGCCCTCATGTCACCCGCAGGGCCTTGTCGCTGCTGCCCTCATGTCACCCGCAGGGGCCTTGTCGCTGCTGCCCTCATGTCACCCGCAGGGCCTTGTCGCTGCTGCCCTCATGTCACCCGCAGGGCCTTGTCGCTGCTGCCCTCATGTCACCCGCAGGGGCCTTGTCGCTGCTGCCCTCATGTGGCCGGCCCACTGGCATGCTGACGGGGGGTTGTGGACCGGAGGAAACCAGGAGAAAATACTCTCGACTGGGCTCTTGAACAAAACAAGGGGAGTGGAGAGGGGCAGGCAGAGGGGAGTGGGGGGGAGAGGGTGGGAGGATGTGCAGCATGGGTGCAGAAGAAGACAAGAGAACTTCGCCAGGAAGCTGATAAGGATCTCCAGGCGGCGTGCTCGACTTACTGCAAGGAAGCACAGGGTATTCTGATCGCGATGAAGAAGAAAGCAGCAGAGCAAGCTCGCAACGACACTGCTGCAATCTTCCAACGACTCCAGGACCAGATCACGAATTACATCAATCTGGCCAAGAAGACGGACATCGGAGCCAAAAACTCCAAGCTCACCGACAACTTGAACTATTTCAAGAATCGTGTCATTTCCGAATTCAAGGATGCGATGTCTGTTTTTGTCATGGAAGCTAACCTCTCTGAAATTCATTTGAAGGAGAAGAAGAAGGAGATCGACGAGAAAAAGGCAGCTGCGGCAGAAGAAGCTGATAACCTCCCGGTGGATCCTACCGTGCGTGAGATCGCCAAGCAGGAGGTTGAGAAGGCAGTCGCGAAGCTCAAGCCGATCAACAAGTCTACTCCTAACCGCTCTGTTAACAACGGCAAGAGGAAAGCAACGGCTGGCAAGAAGAAGGTCTTCCCGGTTAAGAACAACCGGAACGCTACCGTCGCAGCAGCCAAGAAGCCGAAGAAGGTGCAGTCGCAGCCTTACAACGGCAAGCAGCAGCGTACGACAGGTCCCGGAAAGAAGGATGACAACACCACTCACCGTGCGAACAAGACGATGGGTCGCTCCTTCTCCAAGACGGCCGGGCGCAGTGCTACTCACCCTAAGAACCGTAACGCAACGGCAAAAAACGGGGGAGGTGCCGTCCGCGGAAGAACGAATCGACAGTAGCGGTGGATGTTCACTCCTACGCACTTATTCTTTTCGGTCGACAAACCGAGAACCAGCTGCGTAGCAGAGTGACTAACCGCGGCATTCACAACTTCAGTGATCATGTCTTCACCCGCGACGAACTTAACCTGCTGAGCTTGGGTCTTAAATTCATCCCCATCCCGTCCATCCGTAGCATTGCTAGTTTAGAAGCTGAGCTGTCGTCTTTCTGTAGAAGCGTGAGAACGATGTATCTCTGTGGTGGAATTTATTTCGTTTCTGATTACCCAGGCTATAAGCTCCCAAGGAGAGCTAACTGGAATCCGCCATTGGCCTCCTCCGAGATTGAAACGGCCCTCGCGGTCTTTAAGGACTCGGTGATTAAGGACATCAATGGTCAAACGATACGATCCCGCCTCCGAAAGAATGTCACTCCTACGCTTCAACGGCTCGCTAAACATCCAAATCTAATCTTCAAACCTGCAGATAAAAATCTCGGCCTTACGGTTATGAGCAAGGACTACTACCAAGAAAAGTGTTTTCAACACCTTCTTAATACGAAAGTCTACAAAGAGTACTCTACCGTTCCGCTCGACGACATTCTGCAAGGCTTACATTCCATTCATTCCGACTATCAGCCTCTTTTATCTAAGAGGGTCTGGAACTCTTTCTTCACTGAACCAAATGGCGGATGGGAAATTCCCGCTTTTTACGTCTTGCTGAAGATTCATAAAAAGGTTCCGGCCGGTCGACCTATTGCAGCTTGCCATTCGTGGATTACCTCCAATGCTTCCCGATGGCTTGATACTATTCTACGACCGCTGGTCATTCAACAGTCAACTTACATCAAGGACTCTCAGAGTCTTATTTTACTGCTGGAACAACGGTGCTACTCTAAGAATCTACTTTTCGCCTCCTATGACGTGGAATCTTTATACCCGTCTATTCCTTTATTGGATGGCATTGACGCTGTTTCATACTTTCTCCAGAAGGCAAGACACCCTTTAGCTCCTCTCGTCACTCGGCTATTACGTTGGGTGATGTTCAACAGCTACGTCTCCTTCAACGGCAGATTTTTCCGCCAGATTCATGGCACAGCTATGGGAACCTCAGTCGCTGTCTGCTTCGCGGTTCTTTTCATGAGCTTCTTGGATATTCAACTCCACTCTCTCCTCCCTTCACCTCCTGCTCTGCACCTTCGTTTCATCGACGACGGTTTGATTTTGTGGGAAGGAACGCGGGAAGATTTTCAACGGTTGAAAGCGCGGTTTGACACGCTTCATCCTTCTATTCGTCTGACTTGGGTCGTTTCTGAAATTTCCATTGACCTTTTGGATGTTACCTTCTTCAAGGGGGAACGCTTCAACAGCTCTGGAATTCTGGACCTGAAGCTCTTTCAGAAACCGATGAATCGGTATTTGTATTTACCCTTCAAGTCATATCATACCCGTACTACGAAGATGGGCTTCATCCGCAGCGAGTTACATCGTTTCCTGCTTCGCTCATCATCCCGCTCCGATTTCTTTAACTCCCGGGCCCTTTTCTTTGCTCGACTTCGAGCACGAGGGTATCCAGAGAAGTTTCTTTTACCAATTTTCAAATCGGTCACCTTCGCCTCTCGGTCAGTCCTCCTCGCTCGTGCTTCTTCACTTCGTGATTCTCCTAAACGTGGCCCCCTTGTGCTGAAATGTTTACTCAACCCATTGGTTGACCATTCGCACCTGGGGAAACTTTTGAGTCGACTCAAAAGTCACCTCGTTACAATGGCACACGACACTTTTTCATCAAGGAGAGCACTTATAGCTTGGAGACTTCCTAAGAGAGTTGGGAATTTTTTGATTTCTGCTAAGAAATGCTAGGTACAGTAGCTTTTTACTGTTAGCCTTTTATCGCATTTGCTTGTACATGTCTCCTTGTCCCCCGCGAGGATTCTCCCGCGTGTTGGGTTTTGTGTGACATTTCCTAGGCCTATAAAGTAGTGCCTGATCCGTAGATTGCTTGTGGTCTGAAGAAGGCGTTTCCACGCCGAAACCGGTTACCATCACAATTTCTCACAAGCGTTCTCTCTACGCAAACACAATCACCTACCTAGGTGTCTCAAATCAACACATTGCTGCCACGTATTGACCCATGGCCTCTAAGTGGGGCTCGATTGGGAGTGGGGGGGAGAGGGTGGGAGGATGTGCAGCATGGGTGCAGAAGAAGACAAGAGAAGGCCAAGTGGGAGCATGTGCAGGGCAGTGCCTTGCAGGGGGATAAGGCGTCACCCCATCAAAAGGACAGGGCCATGCTTCAGGAGGCTCTACAATAGACGGCGTTCACGGTCGTGTGGTGGCAAGAGCGGAGGGGAAAGGAAGGTGGGAGAAGAGCGCCAAGAGACGGTCGAACAATCTCAAGGTTGTGGGGAATGTCAGGTGAGGGCGACAGACAGCAAGATGGAATGGCAAGTGGATAACGGGAGGGAAGAAGCAAAGCGTGCATGCGAGGGCAGCATGAGATGAGAGTGTGAGCCCAGCATAGCATGAGAGTGTGAGCCCAGCATGGCATGAGAGTGTGAGCCCAGCATGGCATGAGAGTGTGAGCCCAGCATGGCATGAGAGTGTGAGCCCAGCATGGCATCAACAAAGGAGCTCGCTCATCACCTGCCGCATCGCCGCCTGCTCGCGCTGCTATCTCACTCACTCCACCCTAATATCAGTGCTTTGCAACTGGTTCGAACACCCTTCTTTTCAGTCGGTTCAAGCACCACCGAGCTTCCAGTTTACTCGGGAATCAGGTCAGGCATCGGCGCGTGGCTGCGGAACCCAGCCCGGTCTGAGCTGAGGCACAAGCAGAGGGCGTGGCAGCGAGGCATCTCAACAGCACGCTGGCCCGTGCTCGCCACACCCACTGCCCTTCACCACCCCTCCCCCACAGCCCCTGCAAACAACCTCTCCCCCTGCCTTGCAAGCATCCCTCTCAAGCGCCCCTGTGCGCACCCCATCCCACCCCCCCGTGCCCTCGCTCCTCACCTTGCGGTATTGCCCCCGCCTCGTGCTCGCCCCCACTGCCCCCGCCTCGTGCTCGCCCCCACTGCCCCCGCCGCCCCAATAGGCTGTCCGCCTCATCCCCACGCACGCCAGCTGGCGCCATATTACTGGGCAGCGAGAGGGATGGGGTGTGATTGAGAGAAGAGAGGGGGGAATGAAGAAGGAGAGGGGCGTTGGAGTTACAGAGAACTTTGGCTTGACCGACTTGCTTGCCTCCCCTCGCCCCTGGGGGGGGGAGACAGGGAGACGTGAACGAGGGGAGGAATGTGGAGGAAGGGAGGATAGGGGGGATGTCCACAAGGGAAGGATGACAGTGGGACGAGGAGCGGGGACGGGTGGCACGAGGAGGGAAGAGGTGGGAATGGGACAGAACGGGAGAAAAGAGGAGGGAGAGAAGGAAGGGAGGGAAGAAAGAAACGCCCCCCACTGCTCTCCATGCCCTCCCCAACTGATCCCCACCCCTTCAACTCCCCATACTCCCCTGTGGTCCCAAGAACGTTCCCCCACCCTGCTGACCTCGATCCGACAGGGGATGAGCGAGGGTGCGACTGTGGATGGGCGTGCCGGTGAGGTGCTTGTGGGTGTTACGAGGTGACGGGGAGAAGGGGGAGAAGGCGAAGAAGGCGGCGAGTGGAAAGGACGAGGTGGGGCGCGCCTTGATACCACATGCCAGCTTGCTGTGTGTGGTGTGGAGGGGCGTGGAAACGGAAGGGGGACAGGGGAGGGGGAGAAGGGAAGAAGGGGGTGGTGATGAAGAATGTGGACGGGAGCAGCTAGAATACAGCATATACAAGGAAGGAGCCAATGAGATGATGAGCAGCGGGTGAGGAGCGGGGGAAGGGAGGGAGGAGGAGGGAAGGGGAGGGAAGAGGGGGGACGGGGAGAGAAGTGGAGGGAAGAAGGGGAGGGAAGAGAAGAGTATGGGAGGGAGCACGAGGGAGTGAAGGAAGGGAGGGAGGGGAGAAAGTAACGCTCCCAATTGCTCCCCTACCCCAACTAATTCCCACACCCCCAACACCCAATGCTCACCCCAACTGATCCCCAAAATCGTTCCTCTACTGCTCACCTTGACCTTGCTCCGACAGCGAATGAGTGAGGGTACTATGAGGTGAAGTGGAGAGCGGGGAGAGTGGGGAGGACGAGCAGGGGCGTGGGTTGAGTGGTGTGGCACTACACACCAGTGCAGGTCCGTGCAGGTCCGCTTGCTGCGTGTTGAGGGGGCGGATACGGAAGGGGGAAAGGGGGTAGAGAGGGGGAAAAGGGAGACAATGGGGGGCTGATACAGAATATAGAAGGAAGGAGCCAATGAAAGGATGGACTGGTGGACGGTTGGGTGGTGGGAGGAAGCAGATGGCGTTGATGCTGGTGGGCACGTGCATGGCGCATGACAGGCACGCATGGCTTCAGGAATGTATAATTCGACCCAGACTCTACATGGCGGAATATTTGACAAGGGTGACAAGGGGGGATGTCAGCAGGTGAGGAGTGGGGAAAGGGAGGGAGGTGGAGAGAAGGGGAGGGAAGGGGAAAGAAGTGGAGGTAAGGGGAGGGAAGAGGATGGAAGGGGATGGAAGAGAAGGGAAAGGAGGGAGGAGAGGAGGGGAAGGAACATGAGGGAGTGAAGGAAGGGAGGGAGGGAAGGGAGGGAGGGAAGAAAGGAAAGCTTTCAATTGCTCCCCCACCCAACTGATCCCCACCCCCTCAACTCCCCATGCTTCCCCGAACTGATCCCCGAAAACGTTTCCCCACACTTGCTCACGTTGTTTCGACAGTGGGTGCATGAGGGTGACGCTGTTGATGTGATGTGTGTGCGTGCAGGTGCGGTGGCTGGTGGGTGTTATGCGGTGAAGGGGCGCGCCTTGAGTGGCGCTGCACAACACGTCAGTGCAGGTCAGTGCAGGTCAGTGCAGGTCAGCTTGCTGGGTGCTGAGGGGCGTGCAAACGGAAGGAGGAAAGGGCGAGGAGAGGGGGAAAGTGGGGAAGAAGGGGGGCCGATAAAGAATACAGAAGGGAGCAGGTGAAAGGATGGACGGGTGAATGGTTGAGTGGTGGGAGGAAGCAGAGCAGATGGCGTTGATGCTGGTGGGTGGGTGGGCACCTGCATGGCACATGGCATGCACGCATGTCATCAGGCTGTGCTGGGCAGGCAGTAAAGCAGAAACGAAGGTACGACGGGCGATGGAAAGAGAGAAGGGCCGGCACGTAACAGAAATGGGAAGTCAATGAGATGGAAGTGAGACGTGAGCAGATGGCTGGCAGCATGTGACAATGTGAGACAGATTGAGGCAATGCAATGCAACCAATGTGTGGTGCATGTGAGAACCGTGTGTGAGTGAGTGCAGGCGCCCACGTGGGTGCTCAGCAGACTCGATTCTGGGTCACGCATTCAGCACCACGGCTCGCACATGAACCCACCTCGCACACTCCACTCACCATGCGATCACATTATCCAGCACCAACTGATACGAATGTGATTCACGACTGGAAGCCACTATTCCGTCACGTCACGTCGTCGTGCGCGACGGGGTCAGACGTAATCCGACTGTAATCGAATGGAACCCACACTATCCCTGACATGGACACGGCTGCCAGCGCGACGGCCTGAGAGGATCACAGCTGGCACAAGAGCTCACGTGGCGCACTCAACGCGCCACTCACGACTCACTGGCGGCGTGCAGCGCCGTGGCGACCACGACTCATCATGGACGCCCCTCCGCGCCATGGTGACCGCCAGCTGCTCATCGCCGCCCACATCGTCCCCCCCATGCGCCGCTTCTTCAGCTCTGCCGCGTGCGCGCAACACACGGAGTGCGGGAAGGCATTTCGATCATCCCTTCAAACGCACTCATACCCGAGCGAGACCCACTGCGCGTGTCACTTGGCTGTGCTACGTGGAACGAATACTCGATAGCGGAGCCGACTTGGATGGATTGATGCGCGGAAGCACGCGGCGACATCAATACACGAGGAGCGCGAGGCGAACGAAACTGCAACCCGAATAAGCGCGGGATTCCCGAGGAAGCTATTCTCGAGCTTGCGGGCTGGTCGCTTCCGTTGCTGGTGAAGGACCTGTGGGCATGAGATGGCTCGGACTGTGCGACATGCTAACGAAGCAGCTATCGCAACAGCGACGAAAATAAAAACAAGGCAGAAGAAAAGCAAAACGAATGCCTGCGATGTTCGAGGCAGAATGACTCAAACTGCGCCGTCGATCGCGCTATGCTAACCACGTACCTGAAAACGTACAAATTGGCTGGTGAGTCGTGGGGTGAGGATGAGGAAGGTAAGGATGACGAAAAGTGTGACGTGAGTCCGGGAGGAATATCGGGAGTCATCGATCTCAGGAGATAGACCCGACAAATGTAAGTGCTGTCAGTTTACCCTAAAAATAGGGTCCTCTTGAGGTTAGCAAGACGACGACAACGTTCGAATTTACTAAGTGAAGTTTACAGCGGAATCTCCAATTCTTTATATAACGAAAACACTTACGTGATGTTCAGGATCCGTTGGGGGAGTTCGGACTGAACGGAGGGTGTTTACATGAACCACAATCCCAATCCAACACCCAAATGAAAACGCAAGGATACGAGTTTTGCTGAGATGATTTGACTTCGTAAATAAAAGTCACGAGAAGCTCTCTAACGAGTACAACTTCTAAATCTGGGAACACCAACGCTATGTCCCCTTGATAATCTCCTAGGCAGCACCGCTGAATTTACGGAGCGTATGCTTGGCTGCTCGTTTTGACGCTACCATACCACGACCCTAGACAACTCCTCGGGCACTGAAATGCCGCGTGTGTTTCCCGACCTAGCAAGTCTGTCAGGCGTTGCCAAACCTAGAGTAGGTTTCTGCCCAGATTTTCATTTACTCGCACAATGAAGCTCGGGATGTGCGCTGCGTACACCTCGCCACGAGCCGCCGGATCTCTCGCAAGGAGGCTCGGTTTTCTTCCGAGGCAGAAATCTCGAGCTCAAAGAGGGCAGCGGAACGCAAAATTTTCTCGCCGCTCTTGTCCGAATCCCCCGTGAGAGTCGACTAGCCAACCAATCATTCAAAGAATACCCTAGTTGATTATTTTGACCCGGGCAGCATGCCAGCACAGAGCTCAGGGATTCCCGGAGCCTGCCGGTTCGGCAGAACTTCCAGGAGGCTCTCGTTCCTCCCATTTCGTCCCCTCGGCTGCTCCTCCCACAACCCTCCCTCGGCTCTGCCTCATGCCTCATCTTCAAATTCGCATTGCCGCAACCCTCTAGTCATTCTCAGAGCATACATCTCAAATACATCGCATACCCTCTAGTCATTCTCAGAGCATACATCGCATTGTCGTCCCAGATTACCAGCACCCTTAGCCTACCCTCGTTATTGTTACCAGAATTCTCTACCATTAATCTCCGCTTTCAAGGGCTGTAGCTTCTCGTTTACCGTTCTGACTTTGAATCAACAATGGCTGATTATTCGGCTGGTTATCCAACCTTCTATGAAGCGTTAGCCTTATTTAGGAACAGGGACGCACTCACGCAATCAGTGCTTCAAGTCCCGACCTCCACACCTCTGTATCTGGCTGCTGAGGAAGAGGACACGTGGAACGACGCCGCGTGGGACTCCTCTTCTGCTGCAGAGGAGTCTTCTGAGGCTCCCGAAGGCTCCTCTGTGACGGCAGAGACGTCTTATGAGGCTGCAAGGTACTCTTCTGAAGCCTCACAAGATCTTTCTGCTGGTGCTGAGGACAGTTCGGAAGAGACGTCTTATGAACATGTAATGTACGCTCCTGAAGCCTCACAAGGTGTTGCTGGTGCTGCTGAGGGCCTGACGGAGACTGCAGAGGCTCCTCTTGAGGCGGCAGAGGAGTGCAGCAGCAGCTGCAGCGACGGTGGCGTGTCCAAGAAAGAGAGCATCTCCAAAATCGGAATTTGCAGCGGTGACAATCACAGCATCTGTTTCGGTTTTACCATGGCGTGGGCTCAAGTCACCAGGGAGGTGCTGGGTGGTGTTTTCAACACCTTTAAAAACGGCAGAAACGGTGGTCCCAAAAAAACGGCTGAAACTGCAGCAGTGGTGTGTAGAGCAGAGACTGCAGTGGTGGGTGGTGCAGTGGTGGGTGGTGCAGTGGGTCCTGCTGCAAGCACAGGTCGGTCCTTTGCGGGCAAGGGTTCAGTTTCGAGAATGGCAGCAGACAGGCTGAGGGAGTTGCCTTCCCGCATCCCCAAGCCAAGCAAGGGCAGTGCAGGAGGTGCTGTGAAGCGTGGGACGAGGCCGGCAGCAGCAAGTGCATGCCTGCCGCCGTCCCTCATTCCCAAGCCACGGTCAGCCAAGACTGCACCTGCTGAGGTGGTGAGCTCAGGGACGGCTGATACTGTTGTGGTAACCCGTCCTGTTGTCGCAGCAAGCAGCAGCACAAGGCAGCAACAGGAGAGGAGGAATGACGGTGCGGGATGCAGGGGAAGGCGGCCTATCAGGGAAAATAAGGCAACAACAACAGCAGCAAGGCCTCCTTGGAGGCCGTGAGGGCTGCAGTGTGAGGTGGAGAGTGGGAGGGTGGTGCTGATTGGAGCGAGCAGAGAGCAGCCAAGGTACAGCTGGTGAAGGCACGGGGTGCGGGAGAGTGGGGAGGAAGGCGGAAACATTTTTTGCGCCCTGCTGGTCAGGGTGTTGCAGCAACTGGATGGTGGATTGGTGCATGGAGGGTGGATTGTGGGAGGCGCTTAGACGACTGAAGCTTCTCACGTGCTCTCCAATGGGTCAGAGGCTGGGCCATGTGATGACCGAGGCTTGTCATGGGATGATGCTGCTGGTACCGGTAGTGTGCTGCTTATTTAGCTGAGTTATTACAATGTAGTTACCCATGTACCTGCATGCTATTTATATGTGGAATTAGTTTTAAACCTTGTTTGCCTGAACAAGCAAATTACCAGATTACCATGCCAGCACCAATGAATATGCCTGCCTGCCAGCACGGTATAGTGGAACAACCACTTCCATCCATATTAAACTGCAATATAACTACCGGAGGCATTTGAACAATCTTTCAGAAGTTTCATTCAGCATGATGCGAGCATCACCAGGTGAGGTTTCTGCATGCGATGCTAATGCTGCATGCCGGTATCACAGCAGGACTCCTTTGAGCCACACGAGCATGTCAGAGCAAACAGGGTACACCAACTTTCTCTCTTTGCAACGCTTCAGCTTCATGTCAGAGCAAGTAGGCAGATCTCTCCTTATCATGGCGCCTCATTTGTTGCCTGAAGCGCCCCCACCCCTCCTCTCCTCTTTCCTCCCCCCATGGAGGTGGTTGCACGGCCGCAGCGCCGTCATGCTGCTGCTGTCTCCCCCTGTGCTCCGCTGCCACCATAATCGCCTGCTACTCCTGACAGGCCTGCACCAGTGCTCTCGCACCAGCTGTCCTCGGCTGATTGGAGGGAGACGCTGTGAGGGCGAGGGAGAGGATTTGCAGAATCCGGTGCAGATCTATCATCCCCTGCAGCTTCTCACTCCCTCTGTTCCACCCCCTCCGGTATTCAGTACAGTGCCGTTCATTACAGTCACCGCCAATGCAGGGCCCAGCTTCGCCCCCTCAGTCAGAACTTCAACTTCGCCCCCACCTACTAGGTTTTCCAGCCCAGATGCCAAGGGCTCAAAGGCTCAAAGACTGCAGCAATCCGCTCACCCTCTTCCCCTGCACTGCATCACCGCCAGCCCTTCACCCAACACAGCATACCACTCTACACTGGAACACACATGACTCACAATATCCCCCTGTATAGTCACACCTCAGAGCATCCCTCCCTCAGTCATGGCAGCGTTGGCACTAACAGCACCTCTCCTGTGCCTGCCTCACACTGACTGACACCAACCCCCCTTACAGTCACGCCCACCTTGAGGTCTCACCCACCCCCCCTACTGCCTCACACTGTCCCTACTTGCTTAACCCAACACCCAGTACCGCACCTCACCGTGCTATGTCCCTCCGTGGCCCGGGGTGAAGGCAGCGCCCTGGTCCAGCCCCTCGCCCCTCGCCCTCCTCCGCCCTCCTCCCGCTGGATCCCCCAGCAGAGCCACCTGGGGCAGCAGAGCCAGCTGGGGCAGCAGAGCCACCCGAGAGAATTGCGCTGCCTTTCTCCCTGCTGCCCGCGCCTGGCACGCAAACCATCAGACTGAGTGGGGGAAAGGGAGACGGGGTAGGAGGGGAAAGTGGGAGGATGGGGAGGGCAGTGCAGTGTAGGGGGTGAGTCCTCTCATGCGCCCTCTCATGCGCCCTCTCATGCGCCCTCTCATGCGCATCCCATGCCATGCCCAGCGAAGGTTTAATGAGACGAGGGCAAGAAGCTCAACCCTTGAAGGCATGGGAGCGTTCACCTGCCCTGCCTCCTCCTGTGCAGCGCCCTGCCATGCTCCATGCATGATGGTGCTGACAAGAGAGGGAAGGAAAAGAAAGAATGATGAAAATGGGATACGGATGGGTATGAATTGACTGGAGGTATTTAACCCTCTTTCACCCATGTCCACACATCCCCCTCCTTGCCCACGACAGCAATCACACATCACAAGCGGCGTTATAGATCAGCATGGGATAAGCATGGGATGAGCATGGGATGAGCATGGGTTGATTGAGCATGGGATGAGCATGGGATGAGCATGGGATGAGCATGGGATGAGCATGGGATGAGCATGGGATGAGCATGGGATGAGCATGGGATGAGCATGGGATAAGCATGGGATCAGCATGGGATGAGCATGGCATGAGCAGGGGTTGAGCATGGGATGAGCATGGGATGAGCATGGGATGAGCATGGGATGAGCATGGGATGAGCATGGGATGAGCATGGGATGAGCATGGGATGAGCATGGGATGAGCATGGGATGAGCATGGGATGAGCATGGGATGAGCATGGGATGAGAATGGGATGAGCATGGGATGAGCATGGGATGATGAGCATGGGATGAGCATGGGATGAGCATGGGATGAGCATGGGATGAACATGGGATGAGCATGGGATAAGCATGGCAATATGACATCATGGTCGGGAAGTGGAGAGAAGTAGGGGGTCTTATGAAGCGGGGGCTGTGTGTATGGTGTTGAAAAGTGGGGGAGGTTAGACTAGAGCGCACAGATGTCAAGTGCTGGAACGAGGCTCGCACATTAGACTCACCCCTCACTCACGTCGTCCACCCACACGTTGACTCATGCAAGTGTGGCAGTTTGAAACTCACTAGTGGCTCACTCCTTCCCGCACCCTGTTCAGCAGCTGTTGAGAACCGATTGGGCAATGAGACTCACTACTAGGTCACCGCTCGCACATTCAGCTCTCCATGCGCGATCGCATATCCAGCACCAGCTGTTACAATCGTGATCCGATTAAGGAGGCTTTTATTCGCTCATGTCGTCCAGCGCGACGCCACACGAGATCATCTGACACGCTCAACGCGCCACTCAGGTCACACATGGTGTAGCGCCCAAGGCATCGACAAATCACATTCATCTCAAAGCTAGTTGCACACCACTCGCACGGCTTGTGAAAGAGGCCTGGAAGGCCGCGGATCCCAGCAGCAGCGGCGGAGGAGTGGCAAAGGCACGCACCCACCAGCGGCGCTTGGATTGGATGTAGGCCGCACTGGGGCAGGAAGGAAGGAGGGACAGCAGGAGGGGGGCTGGACAGGGGAAAGAGTTGAGAGGGCGAGGGAGAGTAAGGAAGCCAGCAGCGCTTGAATGATGTGGTTGTGGGGGTCGGTGTATGGGGTGGATCAGGTGGCGTGGAGCAGCAGGGGGACAATGATGTGGGAGGAAGGAATTCTGGTGGACGGAGAGGAGTTTCAGTGGCATACATACAAGCCCCAGGACTGTGGTGTGGGAGGAGGGGGAAAGAGGGGAGGGGGGGGGGTTGGAAGAGAGGCATTGGGGAGATGGAAGTGGCATTGTGGGGAGATGGGGAAAACGGCAGAAGTGGGGGCAGGGGAAGGGGGAGATGAGAGGGGAGGAGGGAGTGGGGCAGGCACCGGGCAGTGACATGACAAGGAGAAGCCAAGCCAGCAGTGGCCTTGGAATGGGGGGCTGGCAGGCCGGCGAGAGATGTGGAAGATGTGAACGGCGCATTGCTTTTGGCAGGCCTGGCTTCAAAACTTGATAAACCGAATAGGTACAAACGAGAGTGCTGGGGTGCTGCTGCCAGATCTCCCAACCGCTGGGCAATACCAGTAGTTGCTTGCACCGCGGCTTTCCATAGCATCATTCCCCTTTTCTTCCCAGGTTAATAGAAAAACATTGACTCCACTGGAAGATAACCAGAGGTACCACCATAGCAGCTCCTGAATGATACAGGAAATACAACTCATCAGCATGCTAGCTCACCCCCATCTGTGACAACTACACCCCATAATAACCAAAGAACATCAGCACGACAACTAACCATCCATCCATCAACCACCACCATACGCATGACAAAAATCCACCGCCAGCAGCACCATACGCGAAGCCCTTGAAAGCCTCATTTTCAGCCAACACCACCCATGAGAAGGGCCTGAATCAGGCTGCAGTGTTGTCAACTGTCGGGGCGCCCGATGAATGAAATGAACTAGGCTGCAGCGGAGCCGAAGAGCTTGGCCACCTCATTCCACATGGCCCAGGGCTTGGCAATGAGATCAACGGTGTAGTTGACGTGGTGCTGGCTGGGCAGAAACTCAAACTCGCACGGAATCTCCGAATCCACGTACGCGTTGGTGAACGCCATTCTCACCGCCCCTTGCACCTTGAGAGGCATTGACCCCTTCTGTGGGTCCGTGGCAGCGAGCTTGTACAGGCCTTCAGCCATCGCATAGAAGTCAGTCAGGGTGAACCCGAGGCACGAGGAGCTCACGTCAGGGGGCTGGTTCGGCAAACCACCCACGGTTACCATGGGTACTTTGTGGCGTTTCCCCAGGAGGTGCGTGAGGACAGCGCAGGCGGAGAAGCAGTCTCCGTCCGACAGCACGAGGAAGGGGCGGTCGCCAAGCACCGGCTGCTCGTCCGTCACGGGCAGCTGCCCCTTGTGGTCGAACTTGAACGGCGCCGAGTAGGTGCCCGCCCGGCCGCCCTCTGTGAAGCGCAGGTGGCGGAAAGGCGCGTAGTCAAAGGCGCTGGAGAGGGCGGTGCCGTTGAGGTCGGAGTAGAGGCCGAGGTAGTAGTGCGGCGCCGTGGTGTTGTCCACTGCCAGCACGCCCATGGCATTCTCGGTGTACGGCGTGCCGATGACAAAGTCCATGGGCGGCGTGAGCTGCGCGTCGGGCACCTTGGCTGCCCCCATGAGCACGCGCACCGCTCTGTACGCCGCTTGCACGGACCCGCCCCCGTTGCCGCGCACGTCTATGATGACCTGCGAGGCGTTGGAGCTGGAAAGGGGCACGGGGAAGGCAGGCATGGAAGGGAGTGTGGGGGGGGGCATGGGGGGGAGGGCAAGAGAGGGCAAGAGAGGGCAAGAGAGGGCAAGGTGGTGCGAAATTGATGATTGAGATGAATGGCGCAAGGCAGGCGATGACTGAAGAGGCATACGAAGAGAGCACTGCGATGCGACTAGGAGTGGAGAAGGGAGAAAGGCGGGAGGAGGGGGACGTCAAGTAGAAGGACAGGCGGAGGTGCAGAGGAGGAGGAGTACTGACGCTGCAGCGGTGTGAAGAGCCTTGGATATCTCCTCCTCCATGAACGTCCCCGCGGCTAACTTCTCCGCGAACGACCTTGTTGCGACGGGCGGGTAAAACACGTGAATCCAGATCACTGCCGTGCTGCCCCCCACAAGGTATACCTGCTCGCATGCACGAAAGCACGTGCACACACACACACACACACACACCCACACACACCCACACACATCCACACACACAGACACGCACACACACACATAGACACGCACACACACACACAGACACACAGACACACACACACGCACAAGCACACACACGCACACACACGCACACACACGCACGCACATACACCCGCACACGCACACACACACGCACACACACACGCGCACACACGCACACACACACCCACACAAGCTGGATGCTCGTTCCAGGTTAGCATGTAAGTGCGGCGAGGGCCTCGAATCTGATCAGATCCGATCAGATCCGATCCGATCGGATCAGATCCGATCCAATCAGATCCGATCCGATCCAATCCAATCAGATTCGATCAGATAAAAAGCGGTCAGATCAGAACATGTACATGGCAGGCACACACCAACCGGCACAAGCGGGCAAGCGCCATTCATGACTAGACAAGTAACCAACCGGCCATGAGGCAAGAATCCATACAAAAACACGCAACATTCTCCACAAGCCATCCCGCTCACCACAAGCCATCCCGCTCACCACAAGCCATCCCGCTCACCAGGAAGAAATCCTTCTTTGGAGAGATCCTCTTTACAGTCGGCCCCGCTACAGCACCAGAAGAGCCATCTGCTGCAGCAGAAAGGGACGCGGTCTCAACATTGAGGTCGTCCGGTGTGTGGCTGCCATCGCTGGTATCATCATAGTAGACTGGAGCGGAATGGCCTTCGAGAAAATCGTTTATCGGGGTATCTGCATGCCCGAACATGCTTGCCTGCGCGCCGGTGCCGGCAGTGGCAGCAGCTGACGGGTTCGGTACGGCACAGTGACTCGCCCAATACCCGGTGGCATTCGCGAAGTCAGCAAGCTTAGCCATCCCAATCCATGGCACCTCTACGTTCTCCGTTGACGCTCCATCCCTGAGAATCGCAGGGGGTGCGGCACATACAGGGTGGGTGTGGGGGGGGGACGGGACACATGAAGCGCGAACGAGGACGAGTGGGGTGAAACGCAGCAAGCAAATAGCAGGGAAGAAGCAGGGAAGAAGCAGGGAAGAAGCAGGGAAGAAGCAGGGAAGAAGCAGGGAAGAAGCAGGGAAGAAGCAGGGAAGAAGCAGGGAAGAAGCAGGGAAGAGCCACAGGGAGAGGTGAGTGAGCATCGGGTAGTGTGACTCACGGTGTAAGGAAGGACACCAATAAGGTATCGTTTTCGGGTGCAACACTTCGCTTGGCGAAGTCGCCTGGCACCTGGACGATCATCGTGCCGTTGGGCGTTGTTGCGGCTACATTCCTCGCAAAGGACCGCGTGAACCGCGCTGCGAGGTTGCGAGAGAAGCCCACTTCCTTGTCCGCCCAATTGCGGATGAAATCTTCCGCTTTGTCCCCGTTAATAGCCACCACCTGGGACGTCGCATAGAAGCACGGAGTTAGAGTTGTTGAATAGGTGTGCCCAGCATGCAAGCAGGACGCGGTTGAACGAACCAGGTGCGCGAATGCCCATTGGCAAAACAAGTGACTCAATTGATTCATCGCACGCATTGCATACCTGTCGACCCTCATAAAGGGCGAAGTCAAATCCGTGCAGACCCTTCGCAACACTGTCCAACCCTTTTGGGACATCTGACGGCAAGTAGTAATAAAGAATCAATAAAAGGGAGTAATGGAGAGGAAGAGTGCTAATTTTCGAAAAGTTAAGTGTAACCTGTGGTATGGTTTTAAAGGGGCGCAGCTATGCTTTGCAACAGAGTCCTCGGAAATATAACTGACCAACTGTGATCGTTGCGAGTAAAACTCACATCGGCGCGGCGCAACGCGAATGATTTGCTGCCCGCCGTTTTCGACGACAGCTACGAGCGGCAACGGCAAGTCGAAGGCGCCAGCGAAGCAGTGCGGGTCGAACATGCTGTGCCCGTCGTTGAGCGCCAACGTCGCCCGGCGTGCCGCCATGTGCGCGTCCACCAGCCGCGCGTACTTCCCCGCCTCGCCGTTCGCCACGATCTTTCGCAGCTCCGCGACAATATCAATGCTGCTCGGCAGGTTGGTCTGGTCGGGGGAGTCCAGGGCGATGTGCTTGTACACGTAGTGATTGTCGAACCCGTTCGCGATGGATAGCAGGTCCTGCACGTCGCACTCCTTCCTGCCACACCCACCGCCACCGTGGCAAACAGTAGAACCTCGAATCAGGCCAGCATATCCGCGCCCAGCAAGTGTGGAATGGAAGTTCGGGTTCAGTGGTGCATGTTGAGCGTGGATAATAAAGAATCAACGACGACTTTTCACACGGCATGAGTAGCAGCGGTACACTACCTGAACAGGAACGTGGAGTAGCAAGCCTTGAAGAGAGAAGGAGCCGCGAATCCCAGCCCTCCGGTCTTGTTCCCCAATTTCTCAACGCCAGTGCTCACTAGTTCCGCCGCCAGCGCAGCGCACGGGTCAGGCGCGGCTCCGGACACGATGAAAGGGTCCACGGGGGCGTCGGAGCACGATACCGCAGGAGGCGGCGCCGGCGCCGCCGGGGCTGGCGTCGCGGCAGCCTCCGCCGAAGCTCCCTCGGACTGCGCGGCGGTGATCGCGACGGCGGGCGTAGTTTCCTGTGTGGGCGCCACGGGGAAGATGTCGTCGTTCCAGAACCAGTGGCGGGCGGACGCGACGGGCGCGTGCAGCAGCAATGCGAGGACGAGCACCGGGAGAAGCCCCGAGGTTGAGAACGTGGCGCGACGCGCTCCGACGACGGACGTTGCGGCCATTGCGCTGCGGTAGGTCTTGGTCGGAGTACAAGAGAGTCCCAGCGGCGGTACTAGTAGCACCGCACGCTACCTGATGGTCGATCTGATCAGAAGAAAACTGCGGAAAGGAAAGTGAGTGGTGTGGATGATAAGCGGCGAGTAGAAATACCCCCAATGGGAGAGCAGGAAATGCGAATTTGGTTCGGAGCTTTGGCGAGAGTCGAGATGACGACTGTCCACCGCCGCCGCGACGCCGTCCATGGTAAGCGACGAGCCCTCTCGGTCGCCCAGTTAGGGCGGCAGGGGCGGGATGCGACGAGCGTCCAAACCGAATCTGCCCTGGAGTGGAGGAAGGACTCCAAACCTTTGAATGGAGACGGTTCGTCGCGCCCCTGCGACACAGCCCCACCGCCTTGCGACGGACCAATGCCCTGCGATGTCACTACATGTTGGGAGGGCGAGGCGACTCGCAAGTCTTACTACAGATTGGAAGGGCGAGGCGACTCTGCAAAAGCTGGTGGCGGGAGACGGCCAGGCTTAGAAGTCTTGTGATACAGCTGACAGCATGAGCCTCGAGGGGTAAATCGTACAAGGGAAGTTGTACAATCACCTCGCACTGAGCAACTACCCCGGAATAAGGTCGACACATGTAGTTTGTGAAAAGTGACACATTCTAGTTGGTAGTTTGGTGTCGACTCTGTGCCTGCTGACACGGTAGATGCTTGTCAAACAGCTCCCTACTGATCCACTGAGTTTTAGCGTTTTTGCGTGAGTTATTCCAACTCTTTGAGTGTGGTAGCGGCGGAAGGATGACCATCGGATGCGAATGCTTGTGAACGGACGCGATTACAATCAGGGCTAAATTGGTGAAGTTGGTTCAGGTGGCAACCTGAACCGTCGAAGAGAACAATCTTGAACGGTTTCGATTTAACCCAGGTTTCCTAGTTGGAATGACAACCCTAGATGGGAAAGGTTGAACGAATGTCAATGAACATTTTCGTGCAGGTTTACGTTGCACATATCCAAGATGACCAATTTGTAGACACCCAAAACTTACAAAAGCAGCACGTCCTAAAACGAGAGCGCGAGCGTGAGGTTGGGAATCTGTCTCGTTCCGTAACTCCAGCGAAGAATCCACGTGAGATGATACGATGCTCGTGTCAGTCACGTCAGTCGTTCAACTGTCGGTAGAACATACTCTACCAGCACAGTTCGACTGATGCTGACGTTGACAGGGTACGTGCCACGTCGGCAGAGCTAAACACAACACACCAAGGCTCCCCAAACCAGACCACACCTCCCGAACCTGTCACTTGGCCTTGCCACGGGCGAGCTTGGACAAGCTTGCTTCCGCAAGCTTTGAACATTCCTTCCCCCTGCCCTCCAAATCGTCAAGCTCCCCGAAATGGCAAGTCGCGAGTGTCCGTTAGTAGGGAGGGAAGAATGTATCTCCGCTGAACGGTTATCAGGAAAACGAGTTCTTGCCATCATGCGATCCGCTTCAATCTTGTAGTACGTATCGCGATTCAACTTTAGAGTTCTCGTTACAGGGCGGCCCGAAGCGGCCAGATGTAGGAGTCGACAATTAGCAGGGAGGAGATCCGAGAGCAGCTTTCGATGGCGGGATTGGGAGGAGCAGCAGCCTCTGGCGCCTCCCGCTCTGCGATGGCAGCGACAACCGGGGCGACTTTCGCTGCGACTGGCGGCGGGACTGTGCTACGGCGAGGCAGCCTTAGGATCGATCTAGGGGCCGCGAGAGCGGGAGGGACGCGAACAGGTCGCGCGGCGCTTTACTGTCACGGCGGCGACGAAAACGCTTCCAGCATGGAGGTACGGGAAGACAGCGCATGGAGGTACAGAGTAGGGAGGGCAAAACATAGCGTTTATAGGAGGATGGGCCAACGGCGACGGGCTCCCCCACACAATCATCCTCGCGTGTTGTCCGGCGAGGCTTGCCATGCTTTCTCGGGCCGCTATCCGCCGCACGCCACTCATCTCCGCTCGTCTCCGCTGCATGTCACTCATCTGTGCGCGCCTTGTTCCCCCCACTCCAACTCGTATCTTGCGTGTCAGCCCCGCAAGGACAGGTCGGCGCGTGGAGACCGCTGCAAAGACAAGGGTATGGACAGGTACGCCAAACGCTCCTTCGCCTCCTGCTGCTCTCCTTCTCTCGCTCTCCTGCTGCTGCTCTCCTGCTGCTTCTCCCTCTCGCTTCCTCTCCTGCTGTTGCTCTCCTGCTGCCTTGCATGTGCTATTTACCCACCGTTGCTCGCCTACCCATTTACGTACACGCTGCACTTTTATCCTGCCACCCATCTCCACATTTTTTACCTACTGACCGCCAACGCTAGCAGCGGAAGCGGTAGCGAGTCAGGGAGCGAGAGTGGCAGCGAGAGCGAGAGAGAGAGCGGGCAGGAGGGCAGGATGGCAGGGCGCACCCACACGGTCGTGGATAGCAGCGATGGCAGCGATGGCAGCGATGGCAGCGATGGCAGTGCTGGGAGTGATAGCAGTGACAGCAGTGATGGGAATGATGGGAGTGCGAGTGCAAGCACAGGGGGCGGTGACGCGATGAGCAGGCAGAGCAGCATGAGTGAGTCGCACAGCCGCCTGCTCGCCCTCCTCTCGCCCTCCACGCCTACTACGCCCAGCCCCAGCCCAAGTCCGAGTAGTTTGTTTTGGGGAAGCAGCAGGGCGAGAGCGGGTGGGCTCACGGGCGAGGGGAAGGACAGTGGCGCGGTGGTGCAGGGCAGGGAAGGACCAGAAGCAGGTGGGGCTGATGTGCCCATGGCAGCAGCATCGCTGGCAGATGCTGCTGGGGCAGTGGCAGCGGGTCGTGCTGACGGGGATGGCAGTGGGGCAGGGGGGGGCGGCAAGGAGATATTTGTGGTGTCGGACGGCACGGTGTGGGCGGCAGACAGGGCGGTGGAGGCGGCAGTGGGGCTGCTGGACTGCGGGCTGGCGGGCGGCCGATGCTCCGTGCAGACCAGACTCTACTCGCAGGTACGGGGGAGGGGGAGACTGGTGGCGGTGCTACCTGGTGTGTCACGTTCCCTTCCTGTCTCTTCTCACCCTCCGTTTACCCATCGCACACGCCATGTCCCCTCCCTCATCCTTCCTGCAATGCACACAAAAGGCGGCACAGTTCGCTCCGTCATCATCGCCACGTGCCAGCCCAGCGCGCTCTCTCTCTCTCTTCACATGGGCCGGGCCCCGTGTGCACCGCCTCCCCGCACGGGTACCAAATGCGCCGATGTGCGAGCCAGGGGACGTGGCGGTGGGGCGGCTGGCATGTGCAGGTGGATAAACTGGCCTGCTCCCCTCTTTCCTCCCTCTCGCCCCGCCCCTCAGGTCACAGACACGGCGTCTCTCCTCGCCATCATCCACACGGCCGCAGCAAGCGGTGCACTCCTCGTGCACACTCTCGCCGATCCTGCTCTGCGCCACACCGCCACGCACACAGCAGCAGCACTGCACGTGGCAGCAGTGGACCTACTGGGGCCCCTGCTGACGGCTGTGAGGGAGCACATGGGTGTGGATGCAGGCGGAGCGGGGCAAGGCGAGGAGGGCAAGCGCGAGGGGGAGCTGGGCGAGGAGTACTTTCGGCGCATAGAGGCCGTGGAGTTCACCATCCGGTGTGTCTCGCCCACCCTGCTTGCTGCTCGCCTGTGGTTCCTCCTGTGTGTTCCGGTCTCTGCCGTGTCTGTGCCTGCTGTGTCACGTCTCACAGCAAATCATCAGCACCTCCCGTGCAGGGCAGGCACCTTGGCAGTGTGCAAGCCTAGTCGCTGCAGCTGCTGTTGCGCGCCTCTACTCAATGCACCTGTCCACTCACTGCACGAGCCTCCCTGTATGTCCGTCTCTGCTTCTCTCTGTCCCTCACGTGCAGGCAGGACGACGGAGCCCTGCCGCGGAACCTGGGGCAGGCGGACATCATTCTCGTGGGCGTGTCCCGCACCGGCAAGACGCCCCTCTCCATGCACCTCGCGCACATGGGCTATAAGGTGACCCCACATGGCGCACATGGGCTATAAGGTGACCCCACATGGCGCACATGGGCTATAAGGTGACCCCACATGGCGCACATGGGCTATAAGGTGACCCCACATGGCGCACATGGGCTATAAGGTGACCCCACATGGCGCACATGGGCTATAAGGTGACCCCACATGGCGCACATGGGCTATAAGGTGACCCCACTTGGCGCACATGGGCTATAAGGTGACCCCACATGGCGCACATGGGCTATAAGGTGACCCCACATGGCGCACATGGGCTATAAGGTGACCCCACTTGGCGCACATGGGCTATAAGGTGACCCCACTTGGCGCACATGGGCTATAAGGTGACCCCACATGGCGCACATGGGCTATAAGGTGACCCCACATGGCGCACATGGGCTATAAGGTGACCCCACATGGCGCACATGGGCTATAAGGTGACCCCACATGGCGCACATGGGCTATAAGGTGACCCCACATGGCGCACATGGGCTATAAGGTGACCCCACATGGCGCACATGGGCTATAAGGTGACCCCACTTGGCGCACATGGGCTATAAGGTGACCCCACATGGCGCACATGGGCTATAAGGTGACCCCACTTGGCGCACATGGGCTATAAGGTGACCCCACATGGCGCACATGGGCTATAAGGTGACCCCACATGGCGCACATGGGCTATAAGGTGACCCCACTTGGCGCACATGGGCTATAAGGTGACCCCACATGGCGCACATGGGCTATAAGGTGACCCCACATGGCGCACATGGGCTATAAGGTGACCCCACTTGGCGCACATGGGCTATGAGGTGACCCCACATGGCGCACATGGGCTATAAGGTGACCCCACTTGGCGCACATGGGCTATAAGGTGACCCCACTTGGCGCACATGGGCTATAAGGTGACCCCACTTGGCGCACATGGGCTATAAGGTGACCCCACTTGGCGCACATGGGCTATAAGGTGACCCCACTTGGCGCACATGGGCTATAAGGTCACCCCACTTGCCTTATGCTGTCAGTCTGGGCAACAGGATGTACATGATTCCCTCGTTGAGCTGAACTGTTTCCCTGATACCTTCGTTCCGCATTTCCGTCGCTGCGTGCTCTGTTTCTTTGTTCAACGTGCTTCCGATGCTCCAGGTTGCTGTTTGTTTGAGGACCTTAATCAAACTACTAATCGCCTCCCCTTTCCCTTTTTGTGAAACCTCACTCTTCTTACACCCCCTGCAGAAGCAGGGTCTCTCACGTTGCTGTGAGTGACGCCAGGCGTTCCTAGTACTCACAGCACCAGTTGGAGCCATAAGCCTGGCGTTCTAAGTTCATATTCTTCCCTCGCCCCCCTGCCCCACCCCATGGCCTGCTCACCCCACTGCGTACCCACCCGTACCCGCAGGTGGCGAATGTGCCGCTGGTGCCGGGGGTGGCGCCACCAGCGGAGCTGCTGCACGCGGACCACGTGGACCAGCGTCGCGTCTTCGCCCTCACCATCGCCGCTCCCACTCTCGCCGCCATCCGCCGCGCTCGCTACCAGCGCCTGGGCATGCTGCCGCAGCAACCGCACCGCGGCGCAGGGAGGGGGGAGGTCCGCGTGGGGAAGTAGGGAGAGGGGGGCGGCGTATGGAGAGGGCATGGAGAGGGGGAGGGAGGTACTGCAGTGCGGAGCATGTGAGGGGCGAGCTGGAGGCGGCTGATGACCTCTTTGCCGTGCACCCCCTGTGGCCCGTCCTTGGTATGCTCCCACGCGTGCTGCTTGTAGGCCGCAACACTCCTTATGCTCTTATCACTCGCCGCATTCTTCTCTCTGCGGATAGCTGCTGCGAGGGCTCGTTATGGCTTGCGCAGTGCTGCACGTTGCAAGTGTGTGCTGTTTTGGCATTGGAACTGTCATGTATGTGCGTGTCTGTATGCATGACTTGCGCTTGCCGTTGCTGTTGCTGTTGCTGGGTGCGTGCATGCATGGGTGGGCAGACGTGACAGGGAGGCCTATCGAGGAGACAGCGGCACTCATTCTTCGCATTTACCACGAGCGCATGAACCTTCACGCAGTGCCATTCGTTACACGCTGCTACTGACAGCAGCACGCGCAATTGGATGCATTACCGGCGGCTGTTATGTACATACCTGTAAGTCCATCTCTGCAGTGTGTTGCTCTTTCGTCGCTTTCGCTGGAGCTGTTGAAAGAAGCCAAGTGCACATTCTGAGAAGCAATGTTTCGGATGTGCACTGCGGGAGCAGGAGATTAACAAGCGGCAATGATAAAGGATGAGCAGCAGTGGGGTGGTGGTTAGTGATGGAGTTGATGGCAGGAGCTGCGGAAACATGGCAATGCGTTGGTGGGCCCAACAGCAGCTCAGGGCACAACATATGGTGTGCTGCAGGCTTTCAGAAGTCAGGATTTCTACGCTAATATGGAAAATTATGAAATAAATTTCAAAATTTAAAGATTATGACAATACACGTAAAGGAGAAAGCAGTAAGGAGTCTATCGCTCCTTATATTGTGGCAGGTTTACGGACCTGCCACCTAGTCCAAAAATCATTTCTAGATCTAGTTTAGAACAGCACACCTACCTAAACCTTGCACCCTTCACTACTACTCATCCGCCATTGCTACTATGATTATCCTGCCCCTCGTTTCACTCCACATGACGAGATCGTCACTTGAGGTTGATGTGGTGGCGCGTTTACAGTACTTGTGCAGGGCAAATCGCGAATTACGTTAGTAGTGAGACGCTGGTGCGAATGGCGAGATTTCGGCATGCTATTGCTGCCTGCGCCTTCAGGGGGCTGCTGCTGATGTTACGAGACCCTGCTATTGCTGATGCTATGCAACCGCTGCTTCTCATGCACTGTCATTAGTGTTGACGTGCGGCCTGCCGTTCCTCCCACGCGATCTGGTGCTGCCGCTACGAGATCTGGTACTGTCGCTGCGCGATCTGAGGTCGGTGCTCGCGATCTTCTCCTGTTACGAAATCTGCTGCCGGTGCTCGCGACCTGCTGTTTTGCTCACGATTTGCTGCTGCAGCTTCGAGATTTGCTGCTGGTGCTCACGATTTGCTGCTGCAGCTTCGAGATTTGCTGCTGGTGCTCATGATTGCTGCTGGCGCTCGCGAATCGCTGCTTGCGCGCGAGATTTGCTGCTGACGCGGAGATATGCTGCTGGAGCTCGAGATTTGCTCCTAGCGCGCGAATTTCTGCTGCTAGAACGCTAGATTCTGCTACTGGCGTGCGAGATTTGCTGCTGGCGCGGAGGTTTGCTGCTGGCGCTTGAGATTCGCTCCTGGCGCGCGAGATTCTGCTGCTGACGCGCTAGATTTTGCTGCAGGCGCGCGAGATCTGCTGGTGTAGCTGCGCGATCTGCTCCTGCTGCGAGATCAGCTGCTTTCCCTCGAGATTTGCTACTGGTGCTCGAAAGCCGCTGCTGCTGCTGCGATATCTGCTGGTGGTGCAGCGCGATCTGCTGCTACTGTCGTGCGATCTGCTGCGGGTACTATCTAGATCGCCACTAGTGGTGCTGCAGTGGCTGGTGGGGACAGCAGCTATTGAAATTTCGAGCTGCTTCTGCTGCTGGTGCTGCACTAAGCACAATATCGCTATTGGTGACAAGACAGAAATTGTGGTGACAAGAGGCCGATTAAGATATTTGCGATGGCCGTATTAAGGCCACGGGCCTATGAAGATTATGATATCAAAATATTATGGCCTTGAAATTATGACCCTATACAAGGGAGAGATCAAGAAACTGCATGATTGTCGAATATAATTTTATAAGAGGTCATGCAACGCATACGTATGCATAAATTAATGTTCATTGGAAATAAAAGCTTGGTGTTTTGGCCATTTGCTAGGGCTACGTTTGTGATAAGCCCTTCCCCTTCATAGGGTGCTGAGTTGAGCATTTTATAAAGCTTTAAATTATCCACACAAATGTTGAGATATATTTTTGTTTGGAATGAAGTTTCCGCCTGTTGTGCTCCTTGACAAACGTGCACTGCACGAACAACGTTGTCAATAATTGCCGCTCGTATTTGCGTTTACTCTCATTCGGTGAGATTCACTTGACCGAAAAAAAAAAAAAAAAAAAAAAAAAAAAAAAAAAAAAAAAAAACAACAACAACAACAACACGGTCGGCCGATAGAGCCGTGTCCAGCTCTAATTTGCCCTATATGGCTCTGAGGAACCCATATCAACCACCGTAGAGGTTCTCCCCAGGCCTCTGGTGGATGTCCTTCTGGGACATATGAATATCGTGTGATTACGTGTCAAACGTTATATCTACTATACATGTTTAGGCTGTAGTGGGGTAGCCAATATGGGGTACAGCCCACTTTAGGGTTTCATATTTGTACCCAACTCTTCCATAGTTCATTCATTCATGCTGCTAGATTCTAACATGGTATCAGAGCACTAGGTCCGTAGGACCGTTTTTTTTACCGTTGCGGTTACCACGCTACCCCACGTATTGTCCTACGCCTGCCTGCCTGCCTGCCTGCCTTGCCTTGTGACGTGCTGCGCTGCGCGCGCCGTCCTGCAGCCCTCGCGCTGCCTACTGCTGCCCTAGGCCAGCGCGCCGCCCCTGCAGGCCCGTACGGCCCGCGCGCCGCCCCTACAGCCTCGTAAGGCCCGTGCGCCGCCCCTGCAGCCCCGTCAGGCCCGTTAGCCGCCCCTGCAGGCCCGTCAGGCCCGCGAGCCGCCCCTGCAGGCCCGTCAGGCCAGAGCGCCGCCCCTACAGGCCCGTCAGGCCAGAGCGCAGCCCCTGCAGGCCCGTCAGGCCAGAGCGCCGCCCCTGCAGGCCCGTCAGGCCCGCCAGCCGTCCCTGCAGGCCCGTCAGGCCCGCTAGCCGCCTCTGCAGGCCCGTCAGGCCCGCGAGCCGCCCCTGCAGGCCCGTCAGGCCAGGTCGCCGCCCCGCGCGTCGCGCCCGCTGCCCGCGCGTCGCGCTGCAGCCCCGCGCGTCGCGTCCGCTGCCCGCGCGTCGCGCTGCAGCCCTGCGCGTCGCGCCCGCTGCCCGCGCGTCGCGCTGCAGCCCCGTGCGTCGCGTTCGCTGCCTACGCGTCGCGCTGCAGCCCCGCGCGCCGCGTTCGCTGCCCGCGCGTCGCGCTGCAGCCCCGCGCGTCGCGTCCGCAGCTCGCGCAGCGCGCTGCAGCCTCGCGCGCCGCGGCTGCCCCTGTTCCTCGCGGCTGCCCCTGGACGCCCTCCTGCAGCAGCTGCCACGGAGCGCCCTGCCACAGTCGCGGCCCTGCCCAGCAGCAGCTGCCGCGGAGCCTTCTGCCGCCGTCGCGGCCCTGCCCTGCAGCAGCTGTCGGGGAGCCTCCTGTCGCGGTCGCGGCCCTGCCCTGCAGCAGCTGCCGCGGAGCCTCCTGCCGCGTTCGCGGCCCCGCCTTGCAGCAGCTGCCGCGGAGCCTTCTGCCGCCGTTGCGACCCCGCCCTGCAGCTGTCACGGCCCCGCCCTGCAGCAGCTGTCGCGGACCTGCCCTACCGCCGACGCGGCCCTGCTCTGCCGCAGCTGTAGCGGCCCCGTCGTCGCCGCCGTCGTGCGCCTGCCCTTCCCGCCACTGGTGAGCACCTACCTTGTTCGTGCGCTGCCGCCTGCCTGCCTGCCTGCCTGCCTGCCTGCCTGCCTGCCTGCCGGCCTGCCTGCCTGCCTGCCCGCCGCGCCTGCCCTGCACGCGCTGCTGCTGCTACTACTGCTATTGCTACTGCTACTGCTACTGCTGCTACTGACGGTGGCCAGATGCAGCTCCAGCGACGTCCGCGTGAGTCCCTCACGCCCCAGCAGCTTAGTGAGTGGTACGCTAGTTGGGGTTGTAGGGGTGGCCGCGCTGCTACTGCTGCAACTGCTGTTACTGCTGCTACTGCTGCTACTACTGCTACTGCTGCTACTGGCGGTGGCCAGATGCAGCTCCAGCGACGTCCGCGCGAGTCTCGCACGCCCCAGCAGCTTAGTGAGTGGTACGCTAGTTGGGGTTGTCGCGGTAGCCGTCGTAGCTGTCGCCCTGGAGCTGGTCAGTTGGGAGAGTCTGGCAGTGGCCAGCTGCAGCTGCAGCGGCGTCCACGCGAGACACTTACGTCCCAGCAGCTTCACGAGTGGTACGCTCAGAGTAGAGGGTTTCTGAGTACCGTTCGCTGCCCGTACGTCATTCGCACTGGTGCTCGGACTGGTCAGGCTTGCGGGACGCTCAGTCACACAGAGTCCCGCTGCTTCGCCCGTCTGAGCGACGCCTGGCGTACTGAGTTTAGCGACGAGGCTTAGCTCCCCGACTGGGTGGAGCTGCTTGAGCAGAGGGTAGATATCTTTGCTCTTGACTATGATGCTATTCTCACTGCCATGTATGCATTGCCTACTAGTGCTGACCGTGCCTGTTACCTGTGCGTACTGCCTGACCCAGGTATAGAGCCTGCTGCTCTAGGTGCTGGTGAGGCTGCTGCTCTAGGGGCTAGTGTGTCTCCTGCTCTAGGAACGGGTGAGACTGCTGCTCCAGGTGCTGGTGAGTCTGCTCTCTCTGGTACTGCGCCTGCTCAGGCCTTATACACCTTCACACTTGACTCTGGTGCTTCTCGCTCCTTCTTTCGCGACAGCACCACCCTCACGCCGCTCAGTCGGCCGGTTCCAGTCTCTCTGGCAGACCCCTCTGGGGGTCCAGTCCGTGCGACCTCTTCCACTGTCCTCCCTTGTCCTGCTGTCCCGTCCGGCACACTATCGGGTCTTCACCTCCCCTCGTTCTCTACGAACTTGGTGGCGGGTTCTGCGCTCCAGGACGCGAGTGTTCACCAGTTCACCCCTGCCTACGAGCGTGTGACACACTGCACGTGTGCTCAGACGGGTCGTCACCTGGCTACCTTCACTCGGCAGCCGGGGTCGGGCCTGTACACACTGACCACTGAGTCACCTCAGGTAGCTGCGTCTGCGTCTGCGTCAGGTCAGTTGTCGGCCCCCTGCTCGTGTCGCGCCTTGTCGCACCAGACCCTCCTTTGGCACCACCGCCTTGGTCACCCCTCGGTGCAGCGCCTTCGCAGCATGCACCGCCGTGTCCTTGTCTCTGGTCTTCCCAGGGTTCTCCCTCCCCTCCCACCCTCGCCTGCTCCTCCCTGTCTTCCCTGTGTCGAGGGGCGGCAGCGCGCCGCT